GATCCCATTGGTGTTAATGACAGCTTTTGAGTATAGGTGGGATCTCAGCTGTGATGTATCATAAAATGATCAAGCTCAAGTAGTAGATATGAAGACTGAAAAAGATTAATACCAGCTGTGTGAAGTGACCCAACATTGTCACACATGGATATCTGTAAAAATAGAAAATTAATGTTTTCAATGCTGTGTGATTTCATTTCTTTATGCAAATTAAATGAAAAAATACTTTTATCAAAAGAGTACAATTTAAAAAGTTTTAAAGGCTTGTAATAGAAAAATGAGTTTATGGCCATCTCCAAGCAAATAAAAAATTCAGTTCTTTCTCATCTCAGTGCTTTCCAATAAACAGCTATATTTTTTGAGAAAGATGAAATGTAATCATTAGAATGGGGTAATTATTTTTCTTTGGCAAGTCAGCCCTGAACTCTATCAGGTTTGAATCAGTTACAAGGAGATGCAGAGGCTGATGTGTTTGTGGAATGCTTAAAAGCAAAAATACAGTATGTTGTGTGCATATCCCACCTCTCCATCCTCTGTTTGTAGTGGTTAAAAGCTACTTTCCCTCTTTTTGAGGCAATAAGATAGCTTGAGTGATCATTTCACAGTATATGGACAAGTAAACAAGCAAGCAGTGGATGTTTATTCCTCTGAATGCTTTAGATTTCAAGTTAAAGAAACCAGTGATTGCTAAGTTGAAAAATTAGAAAATTTGCAGAAAAGAATTGTTAGGCAGCACTTTCTTGGAAGGACTAATGTCATGTGCTAATTTTTTATTACTGAAGTGATAACAGTTCCATTTCCTCACCCATCATGTCACTTAAGAGCTACAGAAATGATGTAAAAAACTCATCATGTTGCATCTGCCTGAAGGGACTATGATAAAGTAGTAATTCAGGATTAAAACATGTTTCACTTGTATGTGAAAGCAAAGTATCAAACTTACCAGAGACTATTCAGTCAAGGAACTTGCATTCACATTTTAAGATTTAAAAAAAAAAAAAAAAATCCTTTTTGACTTTCTGAAGCATAAATAAACCAAATGATTTCTTACAAAGGTAGAAATGTTAAGGGTAATTTTAAATTCAGTTACCATTTTGTTCCTGTGAGGTTGAAATGGCTTCTGGTGGAGAACTGTTAATGTAGTCATTCAGAGGTATTAATGAGAATGGTTTTGGTAAATGAAAATGAGCGATTTGGTGCAAAGCACAATTTCAGCTTGAATTTTGGAATAGTTGATGCAGTGGCATAACAATGCATAACGAGGAAAAATCTCAAAAACGATTTTGTGTGTGTGTATTTTCACTGCAAATAGCTCTGCAGGACCTAATTTATCTTACTTCTGAACAGATTAAATTAGAGTCCAAGCTACAAGCTGGACTGCTACCGGTAGCCAAGCATGTTCATTCAGCACTGCACTGTGCAGTGTTAAAAGCCTGTCCTGTTCATTTAGGGCTCCTCAGGCAATGTCTACGTACTTAGCCCCTGCCCATACAATTGTCCCTGAGTGACACATGTCTGTGCAGCAAAAGAAGACACAGTAGGAAAAGGGTGCTGTTATGGCAGAACATTTCACTCAGCCTGGGGAGTGGAGCAGCATAGTTTTTGTTATTTTAGCTGGATCCGAAAGTGCTCTTAATGTTGAGCAGAGTGTTGAATCAATATGCCATTATAGGGGGAAGTACTGCTAGTCCATATTCTAGCCACCCATGCTGTTTTTAAATGGTTAAGCCAGTATCTGTCATGTGCCACTTTTGCCTCTCACTTAACTTGTGAAGATGACTGAGGATGAACCCTGTAGTACTTGCTCTGTCAAAACACATTGAAGTTTCAGTCTTCTGTTCAGAGTAGAGCAGTGCTGGGTCTAGACTACTCACCAATATTGATTTATTGTCTTAAGAGGATTTACTGCCTTCTTAAATCAGGATGAGCATAGCCAGTTAAAGCAGCATTTGAATCCTCTTCTGATGAGGCTGCATAGAGCCTTCAAGGCTGCACTGGCTCCTTCAGTTGTACTGTAGGATATCAGGAGCAAGTAATCGGACAAGCACACATGAAGTAGGTAGTAGTGAGATGAAATGGGACTACAGAAGGAGGGCTTTAGTGAGTGATGGAACTCAAAAGGACTACAGGATTTTTATTTAAAATAAAATTTTTGATTACTTGTTTCTTGCATGAACTTAGCTGTTTTGCTTTCCTTGATTTGTGTTTATGTGAATACTGGTAAGCAGTCAGTTCTTCTGTAAGGTACTGTTGGCTCTGGGTTTTTTTTTTTGGTTTGGGGTTTGTTTTTTTTTTTTAATTGTTTAGGTTGGAAAAGACCTTTAAGATCATCCAGTCCAACCATTAACCTACACTACCAAGTCCACACTAAACTAAACCATGTCCCCAAGTGCCACATCTACCCGTTTTTTGTACATTTCCAGGGATGGGGAATCAACCACCTCTCTGGGCAGCCTGTTCCAATTCTTGACCACCCTTTCCGTAAAGAAATTTTTCCTAATTTCCAACCTAAACCTCCCCTGGCGCAGCTTAAGCCCATTTGGAGCAGCACTGGGAGTGGCAGGCATGCTGGGGATGCATGCCCTGCAGCAGGCATGTAAGGGTATTCCTCCTCATGTAGACTGTTTATTCTTGGGTAACATCTCTGAACTCTTCCAGCTGCCTATGCGCTAAAGGGTAGGAAAAAAGTGGGTCTTCAGACTCCCCTTTGCCATCTCAAGGTGCCCAGTACCTGAGGGGTCAGTTGCCTGTTGAAGTTCTGCTGTGCAGAGCAGAGATCACAAGTGCACTGAGCTTTTGGGGGATTCTCTTTGAGTCCAGCCTGAAACTTGTGTCTCAGATCTCAGAGGAGCACTGAGTCCAGTGTTGATAAATGCAGGAGAATTTAGCAGTGCACAGAAAATAAAATGATACATTTTAATATCACTTTACAGAAGTGTTTCCTGAAATGCAAGTATCGGAGTCTGAATATGACTGGATCCTGCTAAATGTAAATTTAAGTGGATACTACAGAGTGAACTATGATCAATTAAACTTAAAAAGATTAGCACACTTGCTTGAAAATGATCCAAAGGTAAGATCGTATTTGTTTTCTGAAGCTTATAAACAGATTCTTTCCACGTATTTCTTCTTGCAGTTCGTACCACTAATCACATTGATGAAAACCTGGAATAATGAGAAACTCATGTATAACATAAGAAGAAATGATCCACCATTGCATCACTAAAGTCACTGGCAGCCTTCCATAGTGGAGGAGGAACAGGCCCAAATAGTTTCACATAAGCACGAAAAATAACTACATGAGATGGCATTCTGTCTTCAAAGTTGTCTTAACAGCTTATGGTTCTTCCAATCCCTTAAATTTGGCTCAAAGGGTTATTGGTATGGATGTGTGACTTTATCTGCTGTTAGGTAACCTTGGAGAAGGAAAGCTGGGAGAAAGCTTTTTATTTCCACATTTCCTCAAAGCACAATATTTCTGCCAGTGCAATTTCAAAAAAAATCATCTGACTTGGGTTTTTTGGTTGGTTTGGTTTTTCTTTTTGGTGGAGATTTTTCTTAGAAGTTCCAATCAGTTCTACTCGGGCTCTTTCAGTCCTCTGTAGAAAGTATAACTCAGACTAGATTTCATCCCACGTCTGACTTGCCACACCTTGGGCTGTGAAAGCGGTACAGAACAGCCTAAACATGTGGCTGGATATGGGGTTGCATAGTATTTAATGTTGCCTAACCCTAGAGTGAGTCAGAGGCTCCAGTAGTAATGTCAGCTCATTGGTTTTGGTAACAACAGTGAGGAAGTTTAAGCTTTCAGCATAATAGTAATCAGTGCAGTCAGACAACTTCTCCAGAAGGTCTGGACACGAGGCTGATCAGAGCACGCAGTGTAGTTAAACCTTTCTATGGCACACTGGATTCCTTTCTTCTAGGCTTTTTTCTTTCACAGCAAATCTAAGTCAGCAGGAATGGTGGTTGGGGGCCGTTTTTTGGCACCGGCCAGTGGGAAGATTTGCTCAAGCAGTGGCCGAGCTGAAGGGGCGTGGAAGCAGGGAGGAGACAAGGAGGGACCAACAGTCCTTGCGAGAGCATGAGCTGTAGGCAGGCGTTCACCCATGGCTCTGCCTTGGTCATTTAATTCATGATAGTGCCACGCACTCTGCTCTGGACTAATCTGAGTACGTACTCTGAACTGAAGCCTCAAAAGGAAAAAATGTACCAAAATGATATAACCAGGATATTTTTAGGAAATGCAGCATTTCCATATTTTAATTTTCATTACAGCACACAAGTAAGAGGGGTCTTGAAATTCCGTGCTTAATGTATTGTAGCTGTATATTTATATATATAAATATATTATGTAGCTGTATATTTGTATATATAAACATCCATAAAAGCACATACGCAATTTCAGCTTAAAATGCAGGATCCATTTTGTGATGTTTTGTGGAAGATTTTGGCTTAGAAAAAGTGTTAGGGACTTGCCTTATCTGTCTGAAGCATAGTAAAGCTTTTTTAAACTCTTAACGACATGTTTAGATCTATTAATGCCACATGAACGCTTTCTGCAGGCTATTCCCGCTGTCAGCAGGTTCCAGCTGATAGATGATGTTTTTGCACTGACACAGTAAGTAAGTTTCAAATATGTCATAGAAAATTACTAAACTACATGGCTGCATTCAACATTGCTACTCCTGCTTTTTCATTCCTACCCATATGTGCCTCAAAAGAACAGCAGCTGTTTTAACAAAATGGTGGGGGAGTTAAGTATTTAATCCATTCTTCCGTCAGTGCTGAGTGATTTCTTTCAAAATTTCTTTTAACTTTTGTTCCAACTCTTAGGAAATATTTTAAATAATGGCACTGTCCTGAGTTTTTTAGGGACTAACCTATATTTGTTGTAACAGAAAAAAAGATTCTGCATGAACATGCTGAATTTTCCTTAATTTTTATTAATTAATTTTAATTAATCTCAGCTATGCTGTCCTGCATCACTCTTAATACCTCTTTCGACTAACCTATATTTGTTGTAACAGAAAAAAAGATTCTGCATGAACATGCTGAATTTTCCTTAATTTATTCTCCGCTATCTCAGCTATGCTGTCCTGCATCACTCTTAATACCTCTTTCATTTCCCTTGCTGATGGATGACTCAGTTGTTCATGTCGGTGGTGCTAGAGAGGTCAGCAGTACTGTAGGGAGCTGAAGAAGCAATAAATATGTCTGTGCCTCAAACATACCAGAGATCCCCAAAACATCAGACACCTATGATGTGGGAGCTCAGGGAGAAGGTGGCCAAAGCATACCGTCCCCCCTCCGCCAAGCCTGTGGAAGTAGCTCTGAGAGGAGGAAGTAGTAATTCCCATTCCTCCTCTCATACAAGTGTCCTTTCTCATAAAAGAGCTCAAACCTAGTACGTAATAAGGAATGTAACAGTAAGTATAGAGCTGTGCTCCTGTGTAAGTACACTAGAAATGGTTCGGAGGAGAGGGGCTTGAATTGGAATTTTATTGGGAAAGAATGAATTCCTTGCTAATTCCACACTAAGGCACAGAAATTCCATGCTGAAGCTGTTAATTCCAAGAATAGTGTGTATGTAAATTAACTGGTTTGGTTTTTACAATAATGAATATTCCACAAAAGAACCTGTAATGAAAATACATTGTTTAGTAATAAAAATACAAATGTATTATTATAACTCAAAACAGTGCTCTTTTCCTTCATTTTGTTCTAGTGAGACTGGTGCATGCTGTAAGTATGCCTATAGTGTATCCTGCAGACACAAGCAGAATACAGTCTGCATATTGCCACACTTAGTGCCGTGATTGTCCTATTACTTTGATAGTGGCACTGTGCTCTGTAATAAATGTTTTCAGAGTTCAGCCCTTAAAGGCACCATTGGTTTATATTTATTTTATTTTTCCAATGTCTTTTCTAGGTCACTCTCCATGCAGTATCCTGATGTTTTATTGTCAGTTTCATAAATAAACAGAAATTCATGGTAGGTAATTAATGTGAAGAGGTATGCTCAAGTATGAGGTTTTTTATCTTCAAATAGGTTTGGATACATTCAGATTGAAACAGCACTTGAACTAACAAAGTACCTTGCCAGAGAAGATGAACTCTTCATATGGAATGTGGTATTGTTAAACCTAGTACCCGAGAATTTGGAAAGTACTCTGAAGAACTATGAAGTATATCCACTTTTAAAGGTATCACCTTTTTTTTTAGTTAGCAAAGATATTAGACCATTTAAATAAATCAGACTAAAATGACTGTAATGATGACTGTGATGAATCAAAGTTCTTGTCATTCCCTTTGCATGATTGTCAACTTTTTTTTTAGATAGGAGGTACTTATATACATTAGTCAATGATAAATATCATTGAATCATAAGCAATTCTTATTGTAAAGCAGAAATCTATTCACATTCTTTATATTAAGCTTGATCCTAGGTTTTTGTAAAACTGAGTATCTGGAAAATACAGCTATCAGTCAGTAGTGAATAGTCAGTAGTAAGTAACGGGAGTAACACTGCTATGTATAAAGGCGATATAGAATGTACATGCTCTGTGGTTTGTACGGCTTTCCAGTTCATCTTCATGGAGAGAAAGAAGGAACTGGGTTTGGATACTAAATGAGATGATTCTCTCCTATATTTGAGCTACCTGAGATAATATTGTCTTACTTATTTCCCTGACTTCTATTTGAAGATTTCACTTTTGTTTAAAGTGCAAGCCCACAATAGTAGTTCTCTTAAGTTGTAAAAGTAAAGGTATGTTTAAAATATGTGAGAACTTTCTGTCTTTTTGTCTGAGAATGAGCATTTTTTTTTTCTTTCACATTGAATTCAAAGGTCCTAGTGATGTGAAATGGTAACGTCCCAGTTTGAATAGATGTACAGGTGTATTGTATTTTAGACACAATTTATATAGTTTATTTTAATGTGCTGTGTTGTCAAGAAATTGATAGTGGTAAATTTTTAGGATAAATCTGAGTAAGTAAAGAAAAATACAGTAAAATAAAAACTTGCATCTAAATTAAAGTATTTTTTCTTTCCCTTCTTCTAAAAGAAATACCTTTTAAAGAGAATGTTGCCAGTATACCATTATTATGCAGGTTTTATTCGTCAAAATGTCAATGCTTTGGAAGATGACTATTTTGCTCAGTAAGTATTCTGCTTTAATTTGAATGTAACTGTATTCTTATTTTTACTGTCCTATAAGTGTGTGTTATTTATGATGACACCTCCAATGAAACTGCAGTATCGGGATAGTTTGGGATATTTTCAGTCTATTCAGTGCACATAAAAGATGATACTTTAATGATCTGAGTGGTAGCTTTTGTTTATGGGAGAACAGGCTCAACAGGCTGCTGCTCATTGGGGAAAAACTGACAAAAAAATGATCTTCAGATATAATTTATGGATCAATCACTAGAACTTTAAAATAGTTCATTTTGCAAGGCTACTGAAGCCACAGTCTTGCATGTCAGAATGATTGGAACTAGATGCAACTAGTCTCTTAAAACTACCAAGAGCGATATAAAACAAACAAAAAACTAAGAAAAATTGTAATACATTGGTAGCCTCACTAATTTCCATGAGTACTGATGCAGGAACCTGTTATTGGTAGTTTAATTTTTTATTTTTATTAAACCTCAACTGTTTCTAGTAGAGGTTCTCCTGGGTTAATGGCATCATGCTGAAACTGTGCTGGTCAAGCATAGTTCAAGTACTCTTGATGTAGAATACATATCTTTTATTCTTGCTATTTTGGCTTCCCTTCAAGAGTGTATTTGGAAAAACTTTTTACAACAGCATGCTGGCTGGGCCTCGAAGACTGTTTGAACCTGTCATCTGAACTGTATGCGAAGTGGATGGACAACCCTGAGCACAAGTAAGAATGTGGCCTTAGAGGTGTGCATGCGTAAGTGAGGTGGAAAGTTAAAGGGCTCTTAATGGGGGAGGCAGAATGAGAAACACTTCTATACGCTGCTCTTCTTTCTCGACAGAGTGACAGAATTTAAGCCTAACTACGCCCCTCCAACCCCTCCTCTTCCCCAAATCCCAACTTTGTGATGATTTTATAATTATTGCTTTTTACATAGACTTTACAGGCTGGAGGATGCAGATTTTGGCCATGAAGACCAAAATCTGTTTAGCCACATAGCAGGTGAACCTCAGATTAGGGTTAATATCCCATATTGTCCAGTCCCTTTGTTGCAGTACAGCCTTAGGGCTGTCATGTATGCCATCTCAGTTTCTAAGCTTCTCTTAGCAATACTGAGTGAAACAATGTTTGTGTGATAGAGGCATCTGCCCATGATGAGCCCATCAAATTGCCTTGCACATTCTGTATTCACGTAAAGAGGGGCTGGGAACAGCTGTCAGTTCTTACGCTGATATTGGAGCCCAGTGGTCAAGTTTCTGGTCTGTGAGGATGGAGTCTGGGCTCTGCCAGGATCAGACTTTCTATATTCGAGTATTGCATTGTTAAAGAAAATTTATGATGTATTGAAATTCTTATTCTCTTTTCCTCCCTCTTTCTTTTGGTGTTTTTCTATGCAATAGTCAAATAGCATTGGCACTGGTGAGTGAATATTTAAAGTTTACTGTTATTATTATTTGTTGTAATTGTAATAAATCTTTTGTTCTTACTTGTATCTCTGTTGATATATGTAGTTGGCTAAGTACACTGAACTTGTACTTTTATGTTTGTGGTTTTTTAAATAGTTTCATAGTGATCATCCTCATAAAAACCAAACTGTGCTTTGCAGTTAAACGGAAAAGTTTAAATAGCCTAAATACATTTTGTTATGTTCCAGAGAGAATATTCTTACTATACCACACTAAAAGCAACAATGCTATGCTGAATTCACAGGCTGTTTTC